TTGATCCTAATTTAAATTTCATTTAATAAATTTAATCCTCTAATCATATTGTGACGGGTGTCATAACATGATTGGAAGGTATTTTTTAAATTGAATTATTTTATTTCCCACTCAATCGTATGGTAACACATATCACCGTCGGATTGGATGGAAAATTGAGAGTAAAAGAAAAATCCCCCAAAGTAGTGGAGGATTTAGAGGAATCGAACCCAAGCAAAGTTGGCTAATAAGCCAATGCCCAAACCAGAAAGCCAACAGAACTGCTTGCTTTCATAATGCAACACGTAATATATAAAATATTTAATGGATGAGAAATTTTTTTTTTAAAAAAAAAGTAATAATCTCTCTCTCTCACACACACACATATTAATTCAATTTATTATTTTAACAAATATAAAAATTATTTGATAAAGTTAACAACAATTTATATATATATATATAATCATTAAATTTATATTTTCGTCACTTACATAATAATTTTAATTTTCTTTCTAGTGATTATATGTATATAAATTAATTTATTTTTATTAAAATATTTATGAAATTATTTTTAAAAAATTAACTCAAAATTATTGAAAATTTAAATTATTTTATAAATTTAACAACAATATATATGTATGTATAGTCATTAAATTATTTTTTAACTTAAATAAAAATTCTTCTTTTTTAACCTCTTTTTCTCATTCATTACATTATCTTATTTATTATATGTTGAATTTTAATACCAAGCACTGCTCCTGGGGTGGTTTAGGTGTTGGCTTAGTAGCTAATTTTGCCTAGGTTCAATTTCTCTAGCCCCCCACTTTGGGGGTTTCTTCTACTATCAATTTTCCATCCAAACCGACGGTGACATGTGTCACCATATGATTGGGTGGGAAATAAAATAGTTAAATTTAAAAAATATCTTACAAACGTGTTGTGACATGTGTCACAATATGATTAGAGGATTAAATTTATAAAATTAAATTTAAATTAGGACCAAATTGATAGAATATATAAACATTAAGGACTAAATGCATAATTATATCAACGTCAGCATTTTCGTCAACATTAACGACTAGTGGCTTAATTAAACACATTTAAATAGTTAAGTGGTGTAATTGACAAAATTGAAAGATTGATGGCAAAAGTAAAAGGACTACAAAGTTGAGTGGTCAATGATATAGTTTACCCTTTTATTTTGATTCATTTTGTAAACCTATAAAAAAAAATCTTAACTCTCTCAAATCCCCTCTTAGCATAACCCACGACCGCCTCATCGAGACTTCCTAAACCATTGCACCTCTACTGTTAATCGATGTTGATTTGTCCGCCGACCACCATCCACGGTAGTCAGAAAACTAAATCCTACCCAAAACAAACCAAAATACTTCAATCCTCCTACCTTAAACCTAAATCAGAGTCTAAAACAAACCAAACTAAATACTAGCCTCCTTTAAAGCCCGTGACCCTTGGCCTCCCCTGAACTTCGACAACCTCTTTCACTCTCGGTAGTGAAGTTTCTTACTAATAGAGAAGGAAAGAAAGAGAACCCTAAGGTAAACGATCCTAAAACCCTCTCAAAACTAGCCCCGAAAACCCTAAAACCTACTCTTTACTCTTCACATTCCTTCACTCCGATGATATTTCTAATGACCTAAGGTAAAACTAAATAGCTCCCATGCACGGATTGTCACACCGCAAATTAGGGCATAAATTTTTCTTTATTTTAAATTCAAGGACTAAATTGAAATTTGATTATAATTCTAGGTCAAAATTTGAAAGTTCTAAAAATTTGAAGGACTTGTGGTGTAATAATACCATTTTCTTTTTGTTGGGTACAAAACCCCTTTATTTAGGTTTTCTCTTTCTCTCTCCTTCCATTTTTGTAAGTTTTAGCAAAAAAATTGCAATCGTCGTTTCATCGACAACCAGAGCTCTGTTATCGACACCGCCCACACCAATAGTATTCTTGTGTTATTGTGAGTCCAACATTGGTTATCTTGATGTCTGAGTTGTTAGTGTGTAGAGGGGTGACGTAAAACAAGTTTTCGACGAAGCGTAAACGGGCTCTCCATCGTTCACCGTAGTGAACCAAGTTAGGTAAGTACCTTATAAACACTTTAAAATAATTTTAGAAATTTTTATAAGTTGTTTTGCTGCCATTGCCACCGTATGCACCGTCACTACACGTGAGGATCGTCAACCACCTGGTGGATCGCCTTGAACCAGGTCAACCCAACCCGACCAGTAACTGTATCCTACCCAACCCGTACATCCTTTTGGCCTAAACCCAACTAAACCAACCCAACCAGATTGATCCATTGTTGAACTAGACCAAACTGAACCGAATCAAGTTGAGTCAAGCTGAGCTGCATCGAGCCGAGTCTTGCCAAATCGATACGCATCGCAACGAGCCATTGACTTTGACCGTCGCTGTTGATCGTTGACCGTCGGTATTAACTTTGAAAGTTGATCGGCATTAACTTTTTTGAAAACCTCCCTCTTGACGGTTTTCGATGTCCTGAGTCCAATTTTGCTATTTGATTTAACAAATTCTGACCCCCGAAAACCACCAATCGAGCCCATTAATATGAAAATGCTTAGTATTTTTAGCTATTCTACACTTTTATTCAAGATTTGATTATGGAATTAATCTGATACTATATTTTTATGAAGGTACATGAGATACCCCTGACCAAGATTCGTCTAGGTCCGGTACTACCTTCCCCGCAGAACCGTTTGATCTGAGTTTTTTTAGAGCTACTCATAGGTTTTTGTAATTTATTCGATTAAAGTTTATTACTTATTTATTAGGATTATGATTTCAGTTGTTTCGATTCATAGGATCTAACACTATCGCTGACCGTGATAGATAAACCCCGAGAGTAGGTGACCGTCCTAGACTACTCAGACGGGTTCAGGAGTGTTCATATTGGTGTTACAACACTATTTTGACTATCTGTCTAATGTTTTAAAATTGTGATTTTTATATTCCGATTGAAAGATATCATAATTATAGAATGCTTCTAGCATGATCTCTGGTAACTGTATTTATGTATCTAATTTTGATAAATGACATGTTTTTTATTTAAATAATTTAAATTACTATTTTTACTCAAATACATGCACTTTTACTAACATTAGGGGTATGATTAGAAGAAGTATCTCAAGTTTACTCTATGACATGTAAGACCTTACCAAAAGCTCCTCTTTCTTTATGCACAGGGTAAGTCTATACCGTAGGTCCCTTATACTGATAGTATAAGGTCCTTACCGGGTGTACAGGTGGGTGTATGATTCAGGGGAACCTACATATTTTAGTGTTTAGATGGGGGTAGTGTTCATATTTTTAAAACCTATTTTATACTTAACTTTTACCGAAGTATTTAATCTATATGCTATTACACACTATTAGGAGAACATTGAGCCTTTAAGCTCGCTCATTCTTCAATTTTTACCTTTTCAGATACTATCTAACAATAGGCTAGTAGACTTGGCATCAAGAGAACTAATTTTTCTCCAGTTCTGTATTATTGTATATTTCTTTATGCCTTTTCTGTTATATTTTGGGTGGCACATTTTTATTAATGTCTATGTATATGTATTATCGATATTTTGTATCTCGAGGTCGTTATCTTTGTATATTTATCGTATAGACTTTTATGATGGTTATTTTCAGTATTTTACCATTACATGGTCCTTATTTACTTAGATGGATTTGGATTGCATTTTAAATATGAAAATAACTTTTTAATATGACATGTGATCGTCTAGGTTTGGTTGTAGCCCCTAGACTAGGTCTAGGAAGTTGTATTTGGTGGTATTAGAGCTTTCAGTTTTAAACACTCGAACTGTGGATGAGACCTAAAAACAATATTTTCAAAGGTTTTATGATATTTTCTAATATCGGGTCATCATATATTTAGAGTTTTAAATAAATATAATATTTTTGATGCCAGACTAACTTAGGTTCGAATTACTTCTGTAGAGCCTAGCATATCCAATCCTATGAGAGCTAGAGTTCGTTGGCTAGGTTATGGCCGATGTTTCAGGTGAGCAATCCAATCTTTTATTTCTTTTGAGGATCTGATGTTAGAGTGAGATCCTCCTATTATCATTGTCCATCCATCTACTTCTCGAGAGGATCCAATTACACTTGTTAGATACCTTTTGTTTCTAAGGATGAGCATTTTGAGTTGGATCAAAGTTCCATTGATAGACCTATTTATCATATGTTTTAGAAAGCAGCTAGAGTTCAAGCTAATATGTCTAATGTGGATATATTTGTATCTCTGGAAGCTGCTAGAGTAGTTTCGTTTGGGAGCATTACTGGGGGAGCTCCGACGGATGCCGAGTACTGGTTGAATGACACCGAGAGGACTATGGATGCGATAGAGCTGAGGCTCAAGAAAATATTGAAGGGAGCAGTAGCTTTACTCAAGATGAAGGCATTGACATAGTGGCATTCGATTGCTAGGAGTATCCTGGAAAATCAGTTAACTTGGGATCTTTTCAAGGAACTCTTTCCAAGTCGTTACATTGGGGAGAGATATTTATAGGAGCAATGTTAAAAGTTTCAGGGTTTAGAGTAGGGTGACATGTCTATTATGGATTATGAGATTGAGTTCATTAGGTTGAGTCGTTATACTCTGGGGTTGGTGGACGATGAGGTGGATCGGTGCTTGAGGTTTGAAAATAGACTGAGGTATGAGATCAGAGATCGGGTTGCTAGTAAGCGAGAGAGAAAATTTGATACCTTGGTTGAGATAGCCAAGTTTGCTGAGGATATAGAGCGAGTGGGTTTAGAGTGTATGAGGGACCGAGATAGAGGCATTAACCGAGACAGAGTCGGAGATTGATTCAGGAGACCTTTTAGTTCTAGTGATGTTACTACGCGTCCCAGTAAGAGAGGTAGGGACGAGTCTTCTCAAAGAGGTGGTTTGAGTTCGAGGCCTACGACGTCAGCCACTCTGATATTTTTAGCTTCTAGTCAAGGTGGTTATTCAAGAGTACCGCAGATGCCCACTTACGAGTATTGTGGGAGACGTCATTTTGGAGAGTGCATGAAGAGGATGGGGACTTGTATTAGGTGTGGGTCTGATGATCATTTCTTGAGGGATTGTCCAGAGCCAGCTCCCACCGTCCATACATTAGTCCAGACTCCTACTTGTACTCAAAGTATAGTTCAGACTTCAGCTGGGGTCGTAGTCAGTCGAGAGGATCTGGGTCTTCTAGTAGAGGTTGACTTTGTTAGAGCAGGGGTACAACTTTAACTGAGGCCAGACAGTTGGTTTATACTATTAGGCGTCAATAAGATCGTGATGAGTCTGATGTGATTTCAAGTACAGTTACTACTCATTCAATTCCATACTTTGCTTTATTTGACCCTGGATCTACTCGTTCCTATGTATCATGTTCTGTATCTGGGGGTCTTGAAGTCCCAGTTGGGAATACCGGGAGTCATGTGATAGTTTTAAGCCCCATAGGCCAGTCTATTGACGTAGACCAAATTTTTAGAGGGTTCCCTATAGAGATCCATCGGGAGGTCTTTTTGACGGATCTAATGGAGTTGCTATTAGAAGAGTTTGAATTGATTCTCGGTATGGATTGGCTCGACGAGCATCAAGTTAATCTCAACTATGAGATAAAGAGAGTTGTCCTGAAGACTATTGATAACAAAAGGATAGTGATGATTGGGAAATATCGTGTGTTCCTAAAAAATGTCGTATCATACTTATAGCTAAAAGGATGATCATGAAGGATCTTGAGGAGTTCCTTACTTATTTTTGGATACCATGGGTTCTTGATCAGACTTAGAAATAATTCAAATCGTTAAAGAATTTCCTAATGTCTTTCTTGAGGAGTTGACAGGTTTGCAACCAGATAGAGAAGTTGACTTTGAGATTGAAGTCTATTCCGGTTTGACTCCAGTTTCGATGGCTCCTTAGCATATGACCCCTAAGGAGCTTAAGGAATTGAAGATCCAACTCTAGAATTTGTTGGATAAGGGATTTATTCTTCCTAACGTTTCACCGTGGGGTGCTCTGGTTCTCTTTGTCAAGGAGAAAGATGGGACATTGGGACTCTATATTGATTATAGGGAGCTGAACAAGCTCACAGTTATAAATAAATATCCTATGCCCAAGATCAATGATTTTTTTTACTAGTTCTAATGAGCTACTATCTTTTCAAAGATTGACTTGAGATATAGTTATTACCAACTCAAGGTGAAAGATTTTGACGTCCCCAAGACGCTTTCCGTACTCGAGATGGGCATTATGAGTTCTTGGTGATGGCTTTCGGGTTAACCAAACCCCCTTCTATTTTTATGAACCTGATGAATATTTCAACCTTATCTGGACCATTTTTTGTTGTGTTTATAGACGACATATTGGTGTATTCCCAGACAGAAGTAGAGCATGGTGAAAATTTGAGGATTGTTCTGCAGACCATGAGGGAGCATAAATTGTTTGTCAATTTGAGAAAATGTGAGTTCCGGCTCAGCGAGGTGATATTTCTAGGACATATCGTATCTGTTAAGGGTATTCTTATGGATCTAAGTAAAGTAGAGGCTATTCTGAGTTGGAAGCAACCCAAGAATGTCTTAGATATTTGTAGCTTCTTGGTTTTAACTGGTTATTACCATTGTTTTGTTGAGGGTTTCTCCATCATACCAGTTCCTTTGACGAAGTTATTGAGGAAGGATATCCCACTTGTCTGGTCTGAAGCTCAATAGTCTAGCTTTAAGAAACTGAAGATGGTTTTGACTGAAGCCCCAGTGTTAATTCAACCTGAGTCGAGAAAGGATTTTTCAGTTTAAAGTGACATTTCTCACTCTGGACTGGGATGTGTTCTGATGTAGGATAGGAAGGTTGCAACTTATACGTCTCATCAGTTAAAGTCGCACGAGCGTAACTACCCCACCCACTATCTAGACTTAGTTATAATAGTTTTTGCTTTAAAGATCTAGAGACACTATCTCTATGGAGAGAAGTGTTATATCTATACTGACCACAAGAGTCTGAAGTATCTTCTTACTCAAAAGGAGTTGAATCTGAAGTAGCATCGCTGGTTGGAGCTCCTAAAAGATTATGATTGTGAGATGGAGTATCATACGGGCAAGGCCAATGTGATGGCCAATGCCTTGAGCTGTAAGACATTATCTGATCTTAGAGTCTTTTTTTGCCAAGTTGAGCTTGTATGATGATGGTATTCTATTAGCATAGTTGCAGGTTAAGCCGACCCTAACCGATGAGATTAGGGCTAAGCATTTGCTTGATAGCTATTTACTTACCATTATCAAGAAAGCTAAGCAAAGATGGAGGTCGGAGTATACTCTTGGTCATGATGGTATCATGTTCTTCCATGGTCTTTAATGTGTTCCTAGGGATGATTAGTTGAGTCATACCATTCTTCAGGAGGCTTATAACAACCCTTATGCTATGCATCCTAGTGGAGACAATATGTACAAGAATCTCAAGGAACGTTACTACTGGGTTGGTATGAAGAAAGATATTTTTGATTACGTAGCAAGGTGTCTGACTTGTCAGTAAGTCAAGGCAGAGCATCAACATCTGTATGGTCTGTTGCAAGCCATTATGATTCCAGAGTGGAAATGGGAACACATTACGATGGATTTCATGACTAATTATCTTTGACTCCTTTTAAAAAGGATATTATATGGGTGATTGTTGATCAACAGACCAAATTAGCTCACTTTATTCATTTTCGGGATAATTATTTCTTAGACAAGCTGGCTAGGTTATATATATCTGAGATTGTTAGACTTCACGGTGTTTTGTTGTCTACCATTTCAGATCGAGATCCAAGATTTACTTCTAGGTTCTGGAAGGCTCTACATGAGGCTCTGGGTATTTGTTTGAAATTCAATACAATTTTCTATCCGTAAACTGATGGTTAGTATGAGAGAGTGATTCAGGTTCTTGAGGATATGCTACGGGGTTGTGTGATTGACTTTTTTGGTAGTTGGGAGGACTTTCTGCCATTAGCCAAGTTCGCTTACAACAACAGTTATCAGGCTATCATTCACATGTCATCATATAAGGCTTTATATAGACGTAATGTCGTACTCCTATCTATTGGACTGAGCTGCATGATAAAGGATGTTGGGTCCAGAGTTGGTCCAGGAGACTGGAGATATTGTCAAATTGATCCGTGATCGCCTCGAAAAGGATTTTGTTAGACAAAAATCTTATGATGACCAAAGGAGGAAGGATATCGTGTTCGAGGTTGGCGATCAAGTATTTCTAAAAGTATCTCTGTGAAAGAAGGTGATGAGATTTGGACATAAGGGAAAGTTAAGTTCGAGGTTTATTGGGCCTTATCGTATTCTGAAGAGAGTCAGACATGTTGCTTATCAGGTTGAGTTGCCTTCCCAACTTAGCCGCATTCATGATGTTTTCCATTTATCTATGTTAAGGCGATACTGTTCAGATCTGGGTCGTGTTGTTCAGATCGAGGATATAGAGCTGAGACCTGATTAGTCCTATGAGGAGGAGTTTGTTCAGATTTTGGATCGGGGTGAGAGATAGGCGGATCCCGATGGTCAAAGTTCAGTGGAGCAACTGTGGTCCTACAGAGGCTACCCGGGAGACGTTAGATTCAATGAAGGCCTAGTTTCCGCATATGTTCAGATCAGACATATTTCGAGGATGAAATTTCTTTTTAGGAGAAGAGTTGTCACATCCCAAATTAGGGCTTAAATTTTTCTTAATTTAAATTCAATGACTAAATTAAAATTTGATTATAATTATATGTCCAAATTTGAAAGTTTTAAAAATTTAGAGGACTTGTGGTATAATTACACTATTTTCCTTTTGTTGGGTATAATCCTTTCTTTAAAAAAACTCTATTTCTGGAAATTAGATTTTCTCTTTCTCTCTCCTTATTTTTTTGGTAAGTTTTAGCAAAAAAATTCAATCATTGTTTTGTCGACAACCGGAGCTCCGTTATCGACATTGCCCACACCATTAGTTTCCTTGCATCATTGTGAGTCCAACGGTGGTAGTCTTGCTGTCTAAGTTGTCGGCGTGTGGAGGGGTGACACAAAACAAGTTTCTGGCAAAACATAATCGTGGGGATTGTCCACCGCCTGGTGGGCCACCTTGAAGCGTGTCAACCCGACCAGCTGAACTGGCCTAACCAATAAATGTATTCGACCCGACCCGTACACTCGTTTGGACCAAACATAACTGAACCGACCCAACCAGACTGGTCCATTTTTGAACCGAATCGGTCGGTCCAACCGAACCGGATCAAGTTGAGTCAAGCCGAGTCAAGCCATATCATGCTAAGCCATTGAATTTGATCGTTGACCACCATCGTTGATCATTGATTGTCTACGTTGACATCTACTGTTGATCGACGTTAATTTTTTCTAAAACCTCCCTCTTGAAGATTTTTGATGTCTTGAATCCAATTTTGTGGTCTGTTTTACCAAATTCTGACCCGAAAGCAATGAATTGAGACTGTTAATCCTAAAATGTTTATTATTTTTAGCATTTCTAAACTTTTATTCAGGATTTGATTATGGAATTAATCTGAAGCTGTTTTTTTATAAAGTTACACGAGATACCCCTGACCAAGACCCTTCTAGGTCTGGCACTTCCCACCCCACAAATCCGTCCGATCTGATTTCTTTGAAAGCTACTAGTAGGTTTATGTAAATTATTCGATTAAAGTTTATTACCTACTTTATTATGATTCTGATTTCAGTTATTCTAATTCATAAGATCTAGCACTACCGCTGATCTGATCTTGATAGGCAGACCTGAGAGTAAGTGACCATTTTAGACTACTCAGATCGATTTAAGTGTGTTCCTATTGGTGTTACAATACTGTTTTGACTATATGTCTTAAATGTTTTAAAAATTGTGATTTTATATTCCAACTGCATGATATCTGAATTATCGATTGCTTCTAGCATGATCTTTGGTTACCCTATTTCTGTATATAATTCTTATAAATGGCATGTTTTAATATTTAAATAATTTAAATTACTATTTTTACTCAAATACATGCACTTTTATTATCATTGGGGGTATGATTGGAGGAAGTATCTCAAGCTTAGTCTATTACTAGTAAGACCTTACGCAGATTCTTCTTGCTTTGTGCACAGGATAAGTTCTTACCGCAGGCCCTTATACTATCAGTATAAGGTCCTTATCGGGTGTACAGGTAGGTGTATGGTTCAGGTGAACCTACACATTTTGGTGTTCGGATGGGGGTAGTGTTCATGTTTTTAAATCCTATTTTATACGTAAGTTTTACCGAAGTATTCTCTCTATATGCTTTTATACACTGTCAGGAGCACACTGGGTTTTTAGCTCATTCTTCAATTTTTTACCTTTTCAGATATTATCCGACAATAGCCTACCAACCTTGGCATCTGAATAAATGATCTTTCTTCAGTTTTGTATTATTGTATATTTCTTCACGCCTTCTCTATTATATTTAGGGTGACACATGTTTATTACAGCATATATATTTGTATTATCGATATTTTGTATTATCGATATTTTGTATCCTAACATTGTTATCTCTTTATATATATCGTAGGGATTTTTATGATGGTTATTTTCAGTATTTTACCTTTACAAGGTCCTTATTTACTGAGATGGATTTGGATTGCATTTTAAATATAAAAAAAACTTCTGAATATGAGGTGATCGTTTAGGTTTAGGAAATTCGATCATCAGTGACGAAGGCCCCGCCTGAATGTCATAGACTCCCAAAAGGAAATTCGATCATCTCAAGTAAACCCACTTGACTCTTTAACTCTTTGGTTTGAATATATATAAAAAAAACTTGATGTATTCGAATAAAATAGGGAGATCGTTTACAATTCTTTATTTGTGAGTTTTATAAGAACCCGCTTACAAGAAATAAAAAAAAAACAAATCTGTTTTCTTTCTTTATTTTTTTCATACTGATTACATTTTTATGTGTGACTGCTGATGAAGAAATTTGGCTGTTGACGTGGAAAGGAAGAAGCCCTGGGGGACCAGCATTGTTGGTTGCTAATTCACGAGAGGGGTCGTTTGTGTAGCTATGGCGGAGATGAGGGGACCAGTGGTCCCGTCCAGACGTGCTGCTGATGGAGATGGTTTTGGTGACGTGGAGGAATTTTCCACATGAATTTATCGAGACGACTGATGACGTGGAGGCCTCACTATCGATGGAAGAAGCTTTTGAAGGCTATTGTGGTGGCGACGATGACTTTGGGAAATTAGGGTTTCATCTGGTAACCCTAATTGGGGGTTAATCTAGACCGTTAAATTTGCACCTGATCTGACGGCTATCCTTTGGTGACGTTAGAGGTGACTTCTCACTAAGGTTTCAGAAATCCTATTTGCTTCCTACGGGCTCTTCTTTTAGGCCTGCTGAATTAAATTGATTTGGGACTCAATTGGGCTTGCTTGTTGGATCCTGAATTGGGTTGATCTTGTGTTTAGTTAAATGTGGGCTTTGTAAAGTATGCTTGGGTTGTAATATGAAAAGTTAAATAAAAGAACATCAGTATTTTTAAATTAAAACACACACACAATAATTAATGATCTAATCTAATTTAATATACTAATAAAATCGTCCCCTATTCACTAATTTGATATAATTAATGCCCTACTCTAATTTATTTATTTAATGTTAAAATCAATCAAAGATAACTAAAAAATAATTTAAAATATAAAATTAATGATTTAACATTTAAAATCGGAT